TCTGGCAGTGGGAAGCCATTCCCCCTTGTCCTGTCCCTCCATGTCACTCTCCAGCTCTCCTGGAGCCCCTTTAGGCCCTGGAAGGGGCTCTCAGCTCTCCCTGGAGCCTTCTCTTCTCCAGGTGAACCCCCCCAGTTCTCCCAGCCTGGCTCCAGAGCAGAGGGGCTCCAGCCCTTGGAGCATCTCCATGTGCTGCCCTGAACCACTTGTACAAAGTCTCATTCTCAGACCTACTCCTGTCACACAAACATTAAATCCTCCCAAAAAAACTGCTGGAAGGCCAAAGCCAAAGCTCAAACCTCACAGCAGAGAGTCACTAGAGCCCTTCAGATGGTCTTTCTCTGCCCAGCCCCCTGCACTTACCCATGGCCTCTGATACTGAGGTTAAAACAGCCCAAACGGTCACAACCCAGAGAATCAGCACCACACTGGGAAACAGAAAAACAAGAGAATTTTGGCACTGCTTTCCAGATACACACCAAGCCTGCTACCCCAGGAACAGCAGGGAACACTGGGATAGCCCTCTCCAACCCACTCCAAAAGGGATGGCTGTGTGCAGAGCTTGGCCTCCTTACCTGCAGTACTATGCAGGTGGGCTGGTAGTAATCTACCACCTGGTTAATGACTGGCTGGAAGAGGTGTTTGTAACCTTTGGAGAGAAAGGTAGATCTGTCATGGCTTTGGAACAGAGGACCAGGAAACACCTGGGCAGGGGGAGAGGGCAGGAACACCTACTCTGGTCATCGATGCCGTCCCGCAGGGGCACGTTCAGACAGTAGTAACGGCCACTCTCTGCACCCACCTCATACATGTCACCTGCAAAACAGGGCAGTCACAACAGCTCTGACACTTCACAGGGATGGAAAGGCCAGATCAGGCCTGGGCTGAGTCTCCTAACTTAGTTAGGACCCCTCCTTCTTACAAATAACTACAGTTCTGTTCCTCTCTAATCGCTTCCTCCCCCCATTTCTCCCTGCGGCTCTAATTTTGTGATTTACACTCTTCTACTCCAGCAAAGCTTCCAAAGGATTCTGAAGCGAGCCCACACTAAAAAGGAAAACACATACCTGTACCAGGAAAGAAATAGTTGCCATATTTGTGAAATGACACTGTCATGACACGGTCTGTCAAGTAAAAAGCCTCCTGCACCCCGTCCCCGTGATGGATATCGATGTCGATGTACAGGACACGTGGGTGATACCTATGGAACACAGGAGGAAAAAACAGCACCCACCTGAGCATATCATGCTTTGCATATGAGGCATTTGTCTACAGTCAAAACACAC